AACTAAATTTGAATCCAATTTTTGTCAACTATAAACTACGGAATTCAGAAGTTACCATAACTAAAATTGCATTGTCTGTAAAAAATGTTATCTATACTATATTTGCTTTACATAGATCACCATCTTCGAGTCTACATGAATTTTTGAATGACTTAAATATATTTTTTGAAACTAATGTTAGTAGTAATAGTAACATTGATATTTTTTTGGGTGATATTAATATTAATCTTCTAAGTAAGGATAATGTTGATGTAAACAGGTATCCATAATGTTCTCGCATGGGTATGTTCCATTGTGTCACGGGGTTACGAGGGAAGTGAGTGAAACCTGTCTCGACCATCTTCATGTTTGAGATAACTTCACTGTAAACTCTACAGCATCTAACTGCCGAAATGTACTGATATGAATAAATTGAAGCACTTAGTATGTGAGGTAGACTGGAACTGCAGTTTGGTTTTTGATCAAGCAGAAGAAGCAAAAAATTAAGTAATATTATTGAAAAGTCAGAATTTGTTAAAAATACCCTGAATACTTATAAAAAGCTTAAACCGTGGATTACAAATACAATAATTAAATCTATGAAAAACCGAGATAAGCTGAAAAGAGCCCTTAAGCTAAACCCGTCTCCAGCAGAGGTATCGGAAAACAAAGAATATAGAAACCGTCTTTGTAAAATAATAAGATTTACAAAAATGAGTACTATAAAAGTAAATTTAACCAAAGCTCACATGATATCAAAAAAGTTTATAAATTAGTTAAAGATGTAACAAATGAAAGCCAAACAGAATGTCCTATAACTTACCTGAAGGATGAAAAAAATGACATGATTATTGATAAAAAGCAAATTGCTGATTTTGCAAATAACTTTTTTATAAATATTATTAGAGAAATGTCAGATAAAATTGGGAACCCTCCCACACATTTTCCTTCCTATTCAATGTATTTAAAACCGACCAACAGTAATGGAATTATTGAACATATAATGAGTCTAAAAAATAGTTGCTCTCCAGGATTAGATAAATTAATAACTAAAATAATCAAACAACTACATGTATATCTCTTGGATCCCTTAGTTCATATAATCAATCTGATTATCAAACCGGGCAAAGTACCTAAACAGTCTAAAATATCGGTTGTATCACCTATTCACAAAGCAGGAGATAAAGAATATATAAGTAATTATAGACCAATAAGTATAATCTAAAATTTAGCAAAGATATTTGAAAAGTGCTTTAAGGTTAGATTGGTTGCATTCTTGGACTCAAAGAAGCTGTTATCTGAGAATCAGTTTGGTTTTAGGCAAGGTTTAAGCACATCACATGCGGTTTACGAATTAGCGTCTAAAATAATGTATCATTTAAATAACGGTGATAAGTGCATCGCTTTGTATTTGGATTTAGCAAAGGCATTTGACACGGTATCTCATCCTATGCTCCTCCAAGGAGGGACATGAAGTTAGGGCTGCTGTGTTAAGTGTATTTAGAGATTATTTAATGCATAGGATTCAGTGTGTCAGAATTGCGGACGTTCTAAGTGAACCAAAGACGGTTCAGCATGGAGTTCCACAGGGTACAGTACTTGGACCGATTCTTTTTAATATATATGTAAATTACCTCTGTAGTCTTGCAGTTGATGGCGATGTAATTGCCTATGCTGATGACACCGTGGTGGTGTTTCATGGAGAGACATGGGAATCAACGGGTGAAAAATTGAAGACTGATTTTGCAAAAATTAAAAACCTTCTGGATACATTTAAATTAACTCTGAATATAAAAAAACTCATTACATTGCCTTCTCTATAACCATGGCTAATAGACCAGCATTTAATCAAATTAAGCTTGATAATATAGATGAGCCTTTGAAAGAAGTAAATAAAATTAAATATTTGGGGGTTGTTGTTGATAAGCACTTGAAATGGGACCGACATGTGCTGTATTTGACCAAAAAAATTATATTTTCCATTCACAAATTCTACGCTCTTCGTAACATACTGAACATTAAACTACTATTAATGATTTACAAAGCACTTGTGGTGCCACTATTGGTATATGGCATAATTGTGTGGGGTGGGATGTACGGTTCAAATCTTGGGCAGTTAAAAGTGGTGCAGTAAGGATTATTCTAAAAAAACCTAGACTATATCCCACTATGCAACTTTATTCTCAAGAAATAAACAATATTAAAATCTTATATATCCTTACAGTATGTAGTTTTGTACATGCAAGTAGGAAATTAAATACAAATTATGTGTCCCACAATTATATGACCCGAGCAAACACCACTCATAACCTGCACGTCCCGCAGTCCAGGCGAGATTTAAATTTGCGTTTTGTGACATATCTTGCACCTAAATTTTACAATTTGATTCCTGCTAATATCAGGAATATTGGAAATAATAAAAAATTTAATGTTTCGTTTAAAATTTTCTGTTGGGAAAATCGTGAACAATTTATGCGTTTATTTTAAGTTGCTTTGAGGTAGAATGATCTGCCTATTTGTTTCTTTTCTTTCTTTTTGATATTATTGTGACACTTTTTTTCTGTGATCTTAAGTTAAATCTATGACTTACAACAAAAATATGAAATTTTCTTTCATTTTGTCTATATCGCGCTCATGTTTTGTTTCTATTGTTGAGTGATTTTATACAAAAATATATATTGCCCGATATTTATCAATTAATTACTGTTTTGGTCTGTTTTTGCGCATACAAGTTTTTCAACTTAGGCGCTCATATATTTTAGAGAAACCGTGTTTTTGTTTTGTTAATATATATATATATATATATATATATATATATATATATATATATATATTTTTATATTGGTAAATTTGGGTTCTGCTGAATAAATGTGGTAGTGTTCAGGGCGTACTGTTCTCTCCAACCAAAAAAAAATGCTATTTTTGTAGTGAGTGCTTATATTTGCATTTAAACATAAACTCCGCTTTAGGTAGCTCATTATGTCCACATACTGGCACACGTCAAGCACCACAGCTCCTGAATTCATACAAGGTAAGGCGGCTTTCCGGCCATTAATATGTAGTGCATTCACTAACGAGGTTTTCTTATTGATGTTTTTTTTTTGTTATGGTTGAGGATGTCCTAATCAAGATCGCTTGCTATATATACCGAAAACCGTAAGACTCTTGACTAAACAAAATTTTACCGAACAGTAGCTCAGTTCCAGTTGCAGGATTACCCTTCAATTTCTGGAACGTTATGTTTGCAATGTAATTTAATGATAATACTTAATTTTAACTTAAAGTAAAAATCATGAAATGGCTACCGCTTTAGTCTGAGAAACAAATCTTTTCTATTTAAAGTGCAACTAGCCGGTTATCTTTTTTCCCAGAATTCAGAGTAAAGTCCGTATCAAGAGCTACCATAATCAGCTGTCACACATTGATCACAAACAGTTTTACTCGTACACTTCAGATTCAAATAAATAAGGCTACTATGTATATTTACGCTGGACAAAACCATTTCTTTTCATGCAAATTATGTATAGATGAAATTGTACCGGAAGCCATTTCAAATGCTTGCGAAGTGTAAAGTCGGTCCACTTCATGCCATTTTTTTTCTTTTCAAAGAATTTTGGGCCAAAATTCCTATGCTTCTACTGGCCGAGCCGGATAAAATTCCTGCGAGCACTAATGGCAATTGATATGTTAGTTGTCAAATAGTTGGTGACACCAAGATCAATGAGACCGACAGTCGTATCTGGACATACTGCATCTGCGTTTAAATTGTATAACTTTCCCATTTAACTCACAGTGTAATTCCAGTCGTTGCCGTGGTTAAAATTCTCTCATTATCTTGTATGACAAAATGACCGAATTCAGACTAGGTAGAAAACAATGATGTTAGACTGAGTAGCAGGACTCGATCAAGGGCTTGCTTATCTCCTTATTGTTATAGTCTGTATAGAGGATCATAAGTCAATTAAATTCGTAGTTTTGATGTTGTCTTTTAAAAAGCGAGTGTTTGCAGTCTACTTGACTCATATCAAATTTCATTGAATCAGTGACTATCTCCTACAGTGTTTGGTTTAGGAAAACGAAATATATCATTCCAAATTTTTAGCGTAGGATTGATATTTAAGTCCAATTCAAAGAAACATATTTTTTATTTTTAACATGATACGGTGAACACACTATCGGCCCTGATGTGACGTCAAAGAAACTTCATCCGTATGCAACTCGTGGACTAAGGTTGTATTCTTTAAATACTTGTAAAAATCTCTTACTCAACGTAAAAAGATCCTATTTTCTCGTTTTATTGAAAAATACAATCATGGGCGTTGGATTCGTAAAAGCAGAAAGCACAAATTTGCCGAAAATAATGTTTCGGCTCTGACGAGCTAAATAAAAACTTAAATCTATGTAAGTAATGTAAGTGCAGAGCATCTGATATAATGAGAGACAAAAAGAGATACTAAGTAATACAGAAGTCATTCAGAACTATGCTCATGCGACCTAACCTCTGAATGATTTTATCTATCTGCAAGGGAATCGTTACGCTCAACTTAAAGGGGATGATAAAATCTGTACAGTAAAATGTAAAATATGCAAGACAAATGAGCCAAAAGTATGCACCAAAACTAGGCAATTTTAACCTATGATTTTTTTTAAAATCTCAGTCTTTAGTCAGGATGAAAGTGGATACTACCAGCGGACTTGACATAAGTTAATCTTCCGACAGTTCTGTCATTACATTTGTATATTTAGTTTTAATTCTTATACCTGCGAGTGTTTTTTGGACGATTTCGGGACATGTACAATAATTAGCAAAGAGCAGCATAAGCCTAATGAAAGTAGATCTTTTCATCGGTCCATATTATTGTTATTACAATTCTTTGGCAGACAATGGTAGTCAAAAGTATGAACTAATATTGCGCAATTTCCGTAACAAACAATTCAATGTAAACATATAGGCTTGATCCCTTCTAATCTATTTGATTACGTTGGACAACATACATGAATAAGATACAGTAGATACTTACAAACTCCATAGGTCAACTTCCGGACCATACTGTTTTCCGGTGATGAAGAGTTCAGGGGCAGCATACTCTGGTGAACCACAGTGGGTTCGCAACGGTGCATCAGGCCGCCAGGTGTTGCTCAGGCCAAAATCCACTATTTTTATCTGAGTCTGCGATGGATTCAGCATTACGTTTTCCATTTTAAGGTCTCTGAAATAAACGTAAGTAAATCAATGTAACAATCTAAATGCTTATAACAAACCAAATGTAGTAAACCGGAGTACCAACAAAATGTAACCTTTAAAGCGGTGCCATCGTGTCACTTAACAGAGATAAAAGATTTGTCTTAAAGTCATTCAGTGAATACAATCGATCAAAAACATATTGCTAGAAAAAAGAAAACTAGGTCAGCAGCCAGTATGTATCACTTAAAGCGAAAAAATTAATATTCTTGATGCTCAGCTTGCTGTTGCACAGCTTAAATCTGATGGATGTTCAATATTTCACCAAATAATCACGTCTAGCCGCTATAGTTGCTTAGTGTTTGAACTCAACTCGGAACGCTGATCGAACTGATGGCAGTTTCTATGTATGAAGCTATGCATAAGAGTAAAAAAGTAAGTAGACAACGTGTTAAGACAACTTTATCCCAGCAGGAGTATATTATCAAAATTCATGAAGGTCAAACTATGTGAAGCTTTGATTTTGTCTAAACTGGCTTACTGTGACTGCATATATGGACCTGCCCTTTTGCAAAAAGATATTCTACGCATTCAGCGAATTCAAAATTCTTGCATCAGGTTTGCATATGGTATCCGAAAGTACGACCACATCAGTGAGAGCCTTATGGATTCTGGTTGGCTTACCATGATTAACATAAGAAAACTTCATTTTCTCACATCAGTACACAAGATCGTTACTAGTGGAACACCTACTTATCTATACAATAAACTTACCAGACTGCCTGATAATAAAGTAACTCGCAATAAACATCTTTTGGTTATTCTTAAATATTCAACAGCTCTGTTTAAGCGCAGCTTTTCATACAATGCTGCGAAACTGTATAACAGCTTGGCAGTAGATCTCAAGAATCTGAACCTCCGCAATTTTAAAAAAAGATTGAAAGCTGATCTCCTGCACGACCAGGGGCCTAAAGTATAAGCAAACCTCGCTACGTTTTAAAGGATAATGTCCCAGTATGTTTCTTTTTAAGTCGCCTTGTTCTTTTTTACATGAATTGTGCTCTCATAAAAACTGCATTGGCCATTGTCTCGTATGTTCTGTTCTGAATTGCATATTATTTATATATATATATATATATTATGAGTGTTATTTTTTGTGGGTTTAGTTGAAAAGCAGCTTAGACTGAACTACGCCTTTCATCATTTTATCTTTAATTTTTTTTATCCTCAAGTTATTTATAATGATGAATAAAGACCATTTATTATTATTATTATTATTATTAAACATTTTGGATTTGTTAAAGAAGCGATTTTTGCATAAGCACTTTGGATGCCTATTAAGGTGAATCAAGAGGTTCTGGGATGGCCATCCGGTGCAAACTTGCTTAAAAACGTGCCTAAACAACTTACACAGAATTAGTTGATTGCACCGCCCAAAGCGTTAGGTTATCTGGGTCATTTTAAATTAAACGCGTCTTATTAACTTTTCTCTCTTTGACCGTTTCCGACTTATAAGCGACTTAAGTCTGAAGAACTCTAAAAATGGGCATATTCACTGTTTTAAATCTTGGTTAGAAATGTTTACTTTAGAGCTTGCAAAGCGCCAAAATTAAAGTACAAACTCCTCCCACATAAGATCTCAAAAAATATTTTAAGTTTAGTTTATTATAAAGCAGTTTCTTTGATTGTTAATAACGCGCTAATGCGATCATGATCCATGGCTCGATTATTAAAAATTAGATAAGAATGCCTTAAAATAAACTAATTACTATTTTCAAAATTTTAAGCACGGGAAACGGCCGGAGCGAAAAAACTAATTGTTTGAAATTTGGTTAAAGAACTTGTTTACAAAAAAATTGCACCTAGTAGTCACCCGCAAACCTGATTCATGTTGAGGGGTATCTAACAAGCATAATTATGGAAGAAAAAAAAGCCGGAAAAAGTCTCTCACGAATGAGAAGTTGTCGAGTCTAAAGCTTCTGCATCATAAGAACCTTTGATGGTGATAGCGATAACGCAAATAGAGTGTAATATGGGAATAAATATTAGGTGACTAACAAAAGTTATACCTAACACAATGCTCATTCTGCGAAAATTCCGGCCTGAATAACGAGGTTGAAATCAGTTTAAGATAAACTAATCTTAAAGTACTGTCTTACGGTCTTGTAGAGATTTGAATGAATGAATTTAGATACTCGGCGACCTCAAAAATCTATATTTTTAACCGAGTTTTCAGGCATTGAATATACCCACAATGGTAACCCAGATCAAATTTATTTGAACAATTTTTTTTAAATAAATTTCAGTTTTTTTTGCCCAGACAAGTTTTTTCCAGGTTTTCTGGATCATTCTGGATAAAAACGGTTTCATTAACTTTTCTGTAAAGCTGACCATTTTCGTATTATAAGCGATTTAATGTCCGATAAGTTCTAAAAATGTGTATATTCAATGCATGAAAACTTGGGTAAAATTATAAATTTTCAGGTCACCAAATATCTTAGTGAAATGTAAAGCTGACCATTTTCGTATTATAAGCGATTTAATGTCCGATAAGTTCTAAAAATGTGTATATTCAATGCATAAAAACTTGGGTAAAATTATAAATTTTCAGGTCACCAAATATCTTAGTGAAAGTCATACAAGAGATTAACGAGCGCAATAAACGCATACGGAATATTATACGGATTGCGCGAATAGGATTAAGAGCTATCTTCAGAAGCACGCATGGACAAAGCTGAAGTCAGGAAGATAATTGGTGATTTAGACGAAACACTTCAAACCAGTGATGCTTAGACGGTTCAATAAGGACAAGGTACGACCCGTCAGAGTGACTTTTAGAGAAGAAAGTGATGTTTTCACCATAATAAAGAATTCAAAGTCTCTTAAAAATAGCAGATACAGGAACGTATCAGTTTCCTTCGATCGAACTCAAATGCAGCAGAGCTACTTCAAGGAAGTGAAGGCTGAACTTGATGCCAAAAATGCCAGAGGTCCAGAAAAATATAAAACCAAATACATCAATGGTATACCCAAGATTATTCCTTTAAACCGCTGGCACCCAACAGTTCTTCGGACTTCTTGCGCTGCTATTAACAAAACGTACGTGGTTTAAAGTCCAAAGTAAAAGAGTTCTATGGAGGCGTCTATGCAGTGAAATATGATATCATAGCGTTAAGTCAAACGTGGCTTAGCCATGATATGTCGAGTTCAGAGTTGTTTTTAGATGAATGTGTTTCGCAAAGACCGCAACTTTGATCTGGCTGATAAAACGTGCGGTGGTGGTGTGATGCTAGCCGTAAGAAGCTCCGTCAAAGGTTCTGTCATGGATACTTTTACATTTGATTTTCAATTTCCTTTAATTGACTTATTAGTGATTAAGTGCTCTATTGATCATAGACATTCTGATATCGTAGTTGTATATATTTCTTATAAGCTTAGTATTAATGATTCTGGATTTTTCTGTCAATGCTTGGAGCAACTGGATTGGATTCATGGTAATGTATTTTTATTTGGGGATTTTAACGTACCGAGATTTATTGATTTGAATAGAGCACATACACTCGAAAGCATTTGACAAAGTCTCTCATAAAAAGCTATTGGCAAAGCTTTCTACTTTTGGTTTTTCTGATAAGCTTATAAATCTCTTCAGTTCGTACTTGTCGGATAGGTTTCAGTTTGTTTCGTATCATGGATACGTCAGCCACCATTTTAGTTACGTCTGGTCTTGCGCAAGGCTCGAACTTAGGTCCTTTGCGATTCATTTTATATATTAACGATTTAATAGCGACAGTTGATAGCAAGGTGTTATGTTTTGCGGATGATATAATATTTTTTTCAACAATTAATGAGATTGATGACAGCGACTTATTTCAAAATAACTTGGCTGTTATTGTGTAGTGAAAATGAACTTTACCTCAATGGTCAAAAGCGTAAGGTCATCTCGTACAGCAGAAGAAGCACTGTTGCTAATCACAAGTATATAATAAATGATTGTGAAATTCAAAGAGCAGCCACTTGCAAGGACCTAGTGATAATTTTTTATTGTAAATTAACATTTGCAGAACATGTAGAATAAAAAATGTCTGAGGCCTTGAAACTGTATGGGTTTATTGTGCGGACATGTAGGAGCTGTCCAAATATCGATGTCATTAAACTTTTGTTCAACTCGCTTGTACCGCCGAAGCTAGAATATGTTTGTGTTATATGGAATCCTTTATATGCATGCTACATCACTGCGATGGAAAAGGTTCAACGCAAAGCATTAAAATATTTGGCTTTCAAAATAGATGGAACTTATCCTGAACAGGGCTTTGACTATGAAATCTTATGTAGTAGGTTTGATCAAGATAACTTAGCAACTAAGGCGGAGTATTGCATCTCTTTGATTTCTATATAAATTATTACATAATACCATAGATTGCTCTTCCATCCTATGTCAAATCAATTTTAATGTACATAGGATCAGTAGTAAGACTAGTGCCACGTTCAAGTGTATTAGGCCATGAACCAATATCTTAGTTAAGTCGCCCATTCATGTAATGTGTAGCAACTATAACAGAATGTCTACTTACTGTGACTTTTTTATTTGCACATTGAATAAGCTTGTGGATCAAGCTGTTAGGTATACACATTTAGCTTTTTTTCGTAGTTACTCATGTAATAATTTAGAACTTCTCTTAATTACCCTGTAAATGGTAAGCTGTTGGGTAACAAAGCCATTATTATTATTATTATTATTATTATTATTATTATTATTATAATTATTATTATTATTATTATTATTATTATTATTTACAAAACCTCGAAGTCTATTGTGGGGTTACTTCATTTTAAAATGATTTTTAAACTTGCCTAATAGGTCCAAATAGGGGAACTTTTGGTTTTCATAGACTGTACATAATATTTCCTTACGGGACATAATGTATATGTTAATGTCAAAACTCATTACCCGCTAAAAACACTTTTGACTGCATAAAGTGGTTGTGACCGATGCTCTTAGTCAAAAACAGCGATTACAAATATCGAATATGTGAACTTCAACGTCCGTTTTTTTTTCGACTTGTGGCCAATGAGACAAATGTCCAATGAGGTTAACGTTAACGTTTGTGATTGTCAAAACTCTCTAATGCCATCTTTCATTTTGGTTGTATTGGGTGATTTTTTAAGAGGTATAGGATTTGATTTTCAAGAAAAACACAAAAAATTTGAAAAAACGATTAAATCTTTATTTGAGTCGATAGAACGGTCGATATAATTCAATGTTTAAAGATTATTTCATGTAAATGTTTGCCGCGGCTCCGCTTTAGATGGCCCATGCGCAAGGTCCAATTTTGGCACACTCTCTCCAACATATCGGCTGGTATCTCACGAATAAATGCTTCAATATTGGCTTCCAGTGCGTCAATCGTTGCTGGTTTATCCCTGTAGACATTAGCCTTAACATGGCCACACAAGAAATAGTCCAACGGAGTTAAAACACACGATCTAGGCGGCCAATTGACGGGCCCCAAACGTGAGATAAACTGTTCACCGAACTCGCCTTTCAGTAGGGTCATTGTCTCGTGTGCGGTGTGGCATGTGGCACCGTCTTGTTGAAACCAAATGTCAGCCAAGTCCAGCTCTTCTATTTTGGGCAAAAAAAAAGTTGGTTATCATCGCAAGTACGGCCCGATGATGCCACCGGCCCATAATCCACACCAAACAGTGATTTTTTCGGGATGCATTGGTAGCTCTTGCAATGCTTCTGGCTGGTTTCCACTCCAGATGTGGCAATTTTGCTTGTTAACGTACCCATTCAACCAGAAATGAGCTTCGTCGCTGAACACAATTTTTCGATAAAAATGTGGATCTTCTTCCAACTTTGCCAGCGCCCATTCAGCAAATTGGAAACGTCGTGGGAGGTCGTGCGGCTTCAATTCTTGCATCAGCTGTATCTTATAAGGTTTTACACCCAAAACCTGTCGCAAAATTTTCCACGTAGTGGAGTAACAGAGGCCCAATTGCTGCGAACGTCGGCGAATCGACATTTCACGGTCATCACTAACACTGGCGGATACAGACGCAATATTTTCTTCAGTCCTCACTCTACGTCTGCTTGTTGGTGGTTTAATGTCCAATAATGTAAGCTGGTTTCGAAATTTAGTCACAAGCTTCCGAATAGCTCCCTCAGTAGGCCGACCAAATTGTCCATAAATTGGAAGCAGTGCTCGATGCACTCTCTTAACCGAGCATGAATTTTTATAGTAAAATTCAATAATTTGCAAGCGTTGTTCGTTCGTAAGTCGATTCATGGTTAAATTATAGACCAAACTGAACAATTTTGACAATGACACAAGACATGATTCACGCGTCAGCTGTCAAAAACAGTGTTGCCAAAAAGATACTAGTAAAAAAATCACCCATTAAATCTAAATGATAATGTCAGAGCAGTACAATGTTGCGTTACAAAATCAGAAAAATAATGTGAAAGATTGCTGAGGAGTATTGTTACACAATGGGAATGCTTATCGAACAGGTAAAGGTGTTTAACATGATTCTGCGAACCCGCTTTAAAGCTGGCGGATGCTCAATATTGCACCGAACAGTCACGTCTAACCTGTATAGTTTCCTTAGTGTTTGAACTCAACTTGAAATGCAAGTCGAATTGACGGGAGTTTCTGGGTACAAAACTCCACATCAGGGTAAAAACGTAAGAGAAGGAAGACGTAGCCTGGTTAACATATGCGGAGGAGCTTTGCCATCGCCCCACCGCACACAGAACACATAAGGCGTTGTACGTGTCTATTGGCGGAAATCTGAACAAGGCCACTCGTCGCTTTTTATTTATCTTTCGGGAGTCTCAAGATTGAGAACGTGACATAGGATGCAATGTCGCCCGTTCAGATAAAAAATGCCAATTTCAGCTAAGGAAATTGTATCTATACACGAAATAAACAAGTACGTATAGGAAAGACGTACAGCCACTTTAGCAGTGTACTGTGCATCAGGAATTGGTAAATACAGGAAATTGAGACGCTCTCTATATACGAGCCGCTAGATAACAGGAAAGTATTTTGTGTACAGTGCAAACTGCTTCAAGTAAATATTTCATTTGTTGTTTAGTTTCGACCAAATTGGATGTGGGCGGTTACAGTTCTTGTTATCGCGACAAATTTAAAAAATGAGATATGTTTTTTGGATGTTATATGAAATGTAGATCAAAAACCATTTCACTCATTTCTGTCGGGCTGTCTGTCTGTTAGAAAAAAAAACGTATGCTTCAATCAAAATAAAGAAATATTTTCGAAGCATACTGTTACCTAAAATTTATATATTTAATTTTTTCAGATATGTGTACTTAGTGGAGTTATCAACCAAAATATTAAAAATTTACCCCGTAGTTTGTTTGGCACATCCACCTTTCTGTTGGAAGCACACATAATACGTTTGTTCTTCCACCATTTTTAGAAATTAAGACTGTGCATCCGCGTTATTTAACGAACATGTAGATAGTATCAGCAGTATTGTTAGTTCACCGATTTTGGTGGTTCGCAGTGAAACTGTCGGTGTCACTAATATTTAATTTTTTTGTATCATGAGTAATAACGGAGTTTCCGACAGAGCCCACACTAGAAACTTACGCTATAGGTTGGTCAGCACAACAACCATACTTCCTCCATTTTAAAGACAGGTATGCGACTTACACATGGTGCATTCGTCATATTTTAGAAACAATTTTTTGAGATATATGTAATATCGGTGTGTTACCGAACGAGCCCTTACTAAAAACTTTTCTGTAGATTGGTCGGTACATCCACCATACTTTTAACAACACGCATACACATAGTATATTAGCACTTCCAACATTTTTAAGGCAATCTTACGACTTACACGTGCATGCACCATATTTAACAGACGTGTAGATCGTATCAGTATTATCATTAGTTCACCGATTTTGGTGAGTCGCAGTGGAATTATCAGTATTACTTTCCTACTTAAATCTCTTTCGCACAAACCTATGCAGTCTATCTCTGTGTGCGGACTTGACCTCACAGACATACGTTCTTCAGTTCTGTCTCGCTATTTCTAAATTTTACTCGTTACTAAGAATGTCAGTATCAGTGTGACAGTTCATCGTCATGGGCGTACAATTTGAGTTCTCGTTCTTGACCTTCGATATAAAATTAATATAGGATACCTATATTTCCAAATATGATAAGAATGGACTATTCAAGAGTGTGCTGTGCCTGTTGGAATATTTCTAGAAACTAAATGAAAATCATGGACCTACTTACTTCATGTATGAGAGAGCGAGTAGCAGCTGTGTTAAAGTAAGCTTACGATTAATTTGCGTATTGTGTAGATACCACAAGTTTAGTTAGAAGATCAGCTTAGTTACTACATAGGTAATTTTGTAGAAAAAATCATACAATAGGTTTTATTACATTTTGAAAGAAGGAAGTTTTGCTGCCGCATCCTGCACCTGTCTCTTAACTACCAGGAAATAAGAAAATTTGCCTATAATATCCTGTCAGTGTTTGGATGTCCTACCTATGAGTATGCAAAATTATTCTCTTTGATGAAAGAAAAGAAATCTCTCGCAAGATGACGATTGACAGATGCACACTTAGACGTAGTTATTAAAGTTATTTCCGCCGATAAATTCACGCCACAAATAGCCACCTTAATTAAAGACAGATATTGAGCAAAACAGGTTAATGATTGTTTTTTTGTAATGTTTTTTTTATGGAAAAGTTAATAGATATTCTTGTCTTATAATGAGACTTTTTTTATTAAGATTTTAAGTATTATAGTTTAAGATGATGTTTCGTGGCACACCCAGTCTATGGTCTTCATGTTTTGGCCCAACAGTCATTGAGTCTGACATAGCTGCTCGACACCATCAGCAAATAGTTTTGGAAATCACAAATACCGATCGAACACGTATTATCGTTTGACTTCTCATGACTTAAATGTCAATGTTAAGGTTCAAATGTCCGCTGTTTGCGATTGCGAAAACTCTCTAATATATTGGTTTTCGGATGGGTCACTTACCTCTCTCTTATTAGCTTTTCTGCTGCGTTAAAAAAAAAACCATCATCCATGTTCTGTTTCATAGTCGTCTCTATGATGTGTCCCAGAATAAGAACTAACATGTTGTCTACGCAAACAGTGGAAAGGTTAAGGTATAACCGATCACATGAAATCTATTCACTACGGCTATTTGCTAAAGCCTGTTAAACTTTACCTAGTCGTCTCAAGAAATTACAATCTCGAAAAATACTTTATTGTGGCCGTTACTAACGTACAGATTCCATTCTTGGTGATATAATATTGGACGTACAGTTTTATATGACGTATTTAAATAATTTCGTTATCCCGCACAAAATTAAGGTTATAAGAAGTTCATCTAAATATTCATGAATCTTTTCTTTAGCAGAGAATCTGTATAGCCCTCCACAAGCAATAAAATGTCGAATGTCAAATCAGAGGTAATGAAAAATCTTACAACCCTGCTCTGAAATATAAATCGTGTACAGTGGCTGGAGCAGGGCAGGTATTCACCGTATATACATAGGTTTCCCGCACTTGCCCGTATGCACTAATTCATCATTTATATTCTGCCGTAACGCTGGCCGGTTTTAATGCAGTGAAATGAACATGGCGGACGAGCTGGAATGGAAAGGGGTTATCTTGTGTCCGTTTCTATGGTCTGGATGTCAAGATTTATCTAGAATAAGCCTCAACCTGGTACTAGCAGTTTGCACTTAGTTTTACACGTAGTGCTATTGGTTAGGAAAAGATTTTGGGTCCCTAGTCCCATCAACTGCTATGCTGACGATAGCGTTTTGTTGGTCTAGTCGTGGGCTGGTGACCTAGTTCTTGATAGTCTGCAAAGTGCGGTGAATGAAGTGTTAAAGAGGCTGAACAAAATTAACCTTTGGAACACACAGGCGGTCTATCCTACGAAAAAACCATCGGGGCACCCCATCTGAAATTTTAGTGAGTTGATGTACTATGGGAAAAATTGCTCAATATCTCGGTGCTAATCTGGGCCAAGGGATGGCAGGT